TCTTTTTTGAAGGGCATGAAGGCGTTTTGGCTTTTGACAGTTTGAAAGCATCCTTAGCCTTTACCTGCCCAGAGATGGTAAGCAGCGGTTGATCAGCTGAAGAGTCCTGCTTAGAAGCCTCAGCATGCGGAGGGGACAGTGCTGTGAGGGAGGCGCTTTCCATGTTTGGAGACAGAGTCTTTTCGTAAAGGAAAGCTCGAAGTCTTTGGCACATCAGCTTAATTGCTTGCTTTGAAAAACCTTTGCAAGCAAGGCAAGACTGATCTTGATGCGATTTTCCAAGACAAAACAAGCATTTATCGTGTCCATCTGATAAAGGGATTTTTTGAGAGCAGACGACACACTGCTTGAAGCCCCGAGGGGCCATAAACAAAAGAAAAAAGGGAATCGTTGATCGAGAGGGGGAGAAAAAACGTGACAGAACAAAAGAAGTAACTTAAAATCAGCAAGTTCTGTCGAATAACCGTTAAAGTAAGATAAAGTAAATAATAAAAACAAGAGAAAAAGGTAGCTAACTAGCTAAGTACTTAACAGTCAATAGCTCTGCTCTTCCTACGGCGGAAAAAGAGGAACTGAAAGGAAGATAGAGGAGGCGGGGCTTATATACCCTGTGGGGGGAGCTAACTGACTCTTTTTTCTTAAGCTCTAGAATCTTCCAGACGTTCCTGCACAGGCGCAGGATAACCCATTTGTGTGCATTCACAGAGACCACTACGAAGAAGCACAATTTTAGCAGTCATGTAGCTTTAGTAAAAGAGACTCAAAGCAAGCTTACATGACATTTTGAATATGGTCTCTTTTCAGTCACTGCTGGGGTGGGGAATATGTGATTTTCCATATTTTGTTAGTGTGAGATTCCCATCAGCCCCAATAAGCCCAGCTACTGATGAATGATGGGAGTTGTACTCCAACATTTTGAGGATCATACATTTCCCATTCCTGTCTTTTAGGTTTTATTAGATACCACTTGTAGATAGACAGACACAACCAAAATGTACACCAGAACACACATGAACATTTTCAGTACCTAGCAGCACATTTCTAAAGATAGCATCTGCATTAAAAATGCAAGACAATAGCCAGTATCCTCTTGCATAGCTATGCCACCATAGCAAGAACAATGTCACTGGCAGTGGGAGGCTGCTGCTGATTAAAGAGTCCCTGTTTTGATTTTGGATTGTGTATGAGAGACACACACACAATGAGACAAAGTTGTGCAAAATTCAAAATTAAAGCAGGAACTCTTCTATTAGCCACAACTGTTGCTCTGATGACATCATTTTTATATATTGTCCTTTAAATTATGTAAGCCACCTTGGGTCCTTTTAAGGATAAACACTGAATGCCTGAAGCTAATACGGTACTAGCATGCCAAAAGGTCACAGTTGGATAATCTGTGGCTGGTACAGTTAGCAGGAGACAAGATGTCACACTTGTGGAAAGACATGGGGACTGTGGGGGGAACGAAGTCTTAGCAACTGTCTTGAAAACCATGTATTCTACTAGACTAGACTAGATTTGTAGTCTAATATACTGCACTAATCTAATATAATGCATTAAGATGCATTAAATAACAGTTTACCTCCAGATTTTAAGTCATTTAGAAATCTAATCAAACAAATGATCTACAAGATGCTGCTGTTTGATAAGCAGTTCTATATCACAGAACTTTGTGACCTAAGGAGAAAGCCACATATATGACTTTTGTTTGCTATTTCTCCGGGTAAAGACTTAAACCTTGGCATTCTCTATTTACTTAAAGCCATCCTCCAAAGTTTTACCTGGCAAAAACAGTACCACTTCCTCCAGGGAAGGTGTACGGATGCTGTTTGCGAAACACATGGCCAACCCGGCTACATGGAATTATTTCAAGGCTGCCACCACACTGCCACACGCGGAATGAAATCTCTGTCATCAGAAAACAAGCAATAGTTTCACACACAAAAAAGAACAGAAAAATGGTTCCCTTACTCTTTTCCTGCAATGCCCCAAATCAAACTTTTCTGTCTCTAAGTAGTATCTAGCATTTTTAAAGGTCTCTGGAAATTTCACTTGTATCCAAAAGAGAGTTCAGAATGTGACAAATTTTTGTCTGTTGTAATAAAAAACAGAATCCAGTGCTGTTGCTACAGTTCTTATATGTATGCTTCAAAAAACAAACAAACCCCAAAACAAAAACCACCACAGCTTTTGACCCAGTTCAAATAACTTAAAATGTTTAAAATTCAATGTTAAATAGCCAACCACAGTTTTACAGACATGGGCAATTATTTGGTTCTTGCACAAACACCTGGAAATCAGGACAAATAATGAAAATGTCAAGAGTAGGGGGAAAATTCATCTGTGATGGTATAAGAGATGTAGACTTACAATCACTCTTAGAGCAAGTGCCAAGTATCTACTAGGACTGATAATCACAATTAATTAGCTCAGTCTTTAGGAATTTATAACAGATTCCTTAAAAACACACACACAAGGCAATTAGGTCCATGAGTCATGTGCTCTATTTTTAAGTATTATAAATGAATGTAACATATTAAAACACTGTTAAAGGAGACACTTTGGCAGCTGTAATCAGTTAGATTTCATTTTCAAGTAATGCACAACTTTTTAAAAAGGCTAAAATCTCTTAATTATATTTTTAAAAGTTTTATTATCTTTTATACAGAAGCTACTTAACTCAGACTTTTCCCCTCCCACCGACCCCTTCAGTTCTTATTATCAACATAAAGCTCAGATTTTAGAATGGAGCTCTGTTGTGTCTGGGTTTGTTTTTTTTTTTTGGCCAATAATCCACTTAAAGTATCAACTGTCATTTTAATCCCATCCACAGAGAGATCTAAAGGCCGTGAACTCACAAAAATTAGGTTACAGTACAATTTGCTTATCTTCAAAAAGAATTCTCAGGAAAGATTCATACCTAGATTTTCTCCACCCCATACATCCATCATCATATCATACTTCCCTAGCTCTTCAAAGTAAAGTTTATCCATCACAAAGAGTCCACCAGCTATCATTGGTGTTCTAAAGAGACAGAAGGAATTAAGGGCAAAAATGGTACATTATATACTTGCAAAGGATAATCAAATAATAAGACTCCAACTGATCATTTTCTATTTGTATCTTAAATAAAACCATTTTGTTCAGTTCTAGTAATAGCCCTATTCAGACATTTAATACAGGGTTAATCTTAACCTCTGAGCAGAGGGAACCATCACACCTCACATGTGGAGAACTATACCTCATAATGAAAATAATGTTTCTCAGTAGGTGTGATAAAAAATCCTAAAAATCAGGGGGGCAATTGTGTGGAGATACTTCATCCATAGAGACTGCTTTCACCTTCAATTTTAGCACTCCACCTATGAAAACTAGGGGTTGGGCTAACCTGCTCCCTCTGCTAGCCCAACTCTTTTCACTGAATGCCTGAAGAGGGCCTAGTCCTCTTCACATGCTGTCACCCCGAGTGATTCAGTCACATAATTAATGCAGGCTTTAGAAGCAGAAATTATTCTTGCAAGGCACCTGCAAAAGCAAGACAGGCAGCTCCTGTGACCATCAGCAGCACACAGTAGAGTTCAAACTAAAATCTCAGGTCAATTCAAGTTTCTGGTTTTAATCTCTGAAGAAGAGAGGCAACAGATCTTCAGCCCACATCTGGGTTCTCCCCCTCCTCGTCCAAGGTACTGGAGAGAAGGAAAGGAAATCCTGACACCATAACTGATCACTGGCTTAAGGCAGTAGGGATCACCTTACCTGATCACAACCACTATTTCTAGAAGCTGGCTGATTCTCAGTCAAGACTCACTAACTCCTGGAAGTGCCAGGTTAGAACACTGAAATCTTACTCTCCACATGGGAAACGAGGAGGAGGAGTGAAGCCAGTCGTTGTCAGATAACATCTGCAAGCACTGGCTAAATCTTCCCTCTTTCTCCCTGTTACAGAAGGAGGGGAGTGAAATATTTTTCCTGCACCAAAGGATTTGGTGTCTCAGTTCCCTGAACGAATATCTTCACCCATAAAAGCCTGCCTACACCTCACAGAGACCATTCCCACTTGGTTAAGTTGGTGAGTACCAGAGAAGGCCATTTTGGTGATAGCCTTGGACCTCTGGAATGAACTTCTCTGCGGGCATTCAGGAAAGTTCTTAAGACAGCAGGCAAAATCCTGCTGCATAAATGTGTACCCAGTATAACCCAGATTAGGCACTGAAAACATTTAATTTATGTTCATGAAAAGCTTCCTATCCCCCCATTCTAGGTTCCGAGGCTCCCTCAGGCTCGCTTTCGCCCCAGGAAATCCTCTGGAAGCCTTAGGACTGGAGGGAGGGAGCTTTTAAAAGTGGGTTAAGCCAAGCATAAAGTTACACAACAGGCTATTGCCATCTGTGCTCTATTTGGCTTTTTCTTAATTCCATTTTGAAGCTACTGATATTTTCTTATTGCAATTTTTATGGATTTTACTGTTTTGGTTTGTTTTTACTTGTTTTTATTTAGCACATCATCTTAGGAGTGTTCAAATTTTAAAGATGGCCTACAAATAATTTTAATAAGTAAAATAATAATTTGAATGGATAAGAAGTTCTTTGCCCTTGAAACTTCCTGAAATGCTTTATAATCCAATATACAACTCTATCTCTAGGAATACATATGTATTCGGTGTTTTTACATTTTGCATTTTATTTGAATTATGTACATTTGTATATGAACCAACAGTTAAATGTGGCAGTGGTTTCCCCCAGCATTTAATGTTTCATGACATGCACAGTAATTCAAGAGCAGTCTGCCAAGAATAACTTGGGAGATGGTAACTCAAAGTTCCACTTACTAAGAACAACAACATTGTTTTGTGAGGGGAAGGGTGATGACAGGAACATACTTTATGGGAGCAACTGGGTTGCCTTGCCGTGCTCTTCTCTGTTCAGGTGTCATGTAATCCCACTTGAATACCAGATTCCAATCAAAGCCTAAGAGATTGTTAGGGAGAAGAGAAAAGAAAGTCACAACAGCACAAGTTTAATTTCAAATTTATTTTCTGTGCCTTTCAAATGAATACATTCTGCTCCAGCATTAGAAGAAAAATAAAGGCACAAATCAAGGTGACTCAGCTACACAAAACTCCCACCTCTTTTTTTGCTGCCTGGAACTTCTCTGCTGTTACAGACCAGTTTCAATGGACAAATATAACAGGAGATAACAGAAGAGCTCTCTTGTTCCCCTGGATGTTAATAGTACTGAAGCTATTTCTTCTGAAACATGGGCAAGTTATGATGATACTGCATTTGTTTCCAATTCAGAGTCCCCACCCACAAGTGTTTTTTTATCAGAGCAGCATTATACTGCACAGAATGACAATCTGCAACCTACAGTTTTCATTCAAATTTGGGAAACATATATTTAAAAGTATACATTTCTGTAAAATGTATAACTGTTTGATTTTGTGTGAGGATTTTTTTTTCTTAAGGTAAGTTTTTGCTGGTTCCAGTAAGCATCAGTCTCGTATTATCAGCAAATGACCCTGAAACCACATGGAACAAGTACTGTATGTCTTCTGTTTCTTTCATTTCCTGATGGTACTTCCTGCAGCATCTCAAACTGCTCTTGTGTAATAGCCTCCAACTGACAACACTGAAAAAGGTAGCAATTCAACAAAATTTCCTTTGTCAGCTCAATGACACTGACTGTCATTTTGTCTCTTTCAAGAATGACCCCCTCCAGCAACCTTTTAAGCTGGCCATTCTGGAGTTTCCCAGTATAATAATTCAGTGGACGTCCTTAGGACATAGCACTTACTACTTCTTCCTTTCTCGTTCTTTTTCATTTTGTACGGTGTCTTTCAACCTAATGTCCTAAACGCTTTTTGTACAAGGGTGATATATAAGTCACTTCCTGTTTACATGCTAAGTCTTTTCAGCAACTATCAACAAGGATCCAGTGTGATCCTTGCCAGAGATTCTACAAGAGGTTCACATTTCTATTCAAATTTTTAGACAAACTGCCTTCTTAGCATGTTTGCATGAGTGACCTTTCGTATTTAAGAGGCACTGATCTTGAGGGACATTTAGCAGGCAAGTTCTCAAGAATGTAGATGCTTGGCAGATGCCTACACAAGTATAGTTTGAATATCCATGCATGTCTAGAAATATATTGGCATGGGCATGGGACCCAAGTCTACTTGCTCAGCATGTTATGAATCTATCTATCCCTAGAATGGTTTTCAAGATGTTTCAAGAGCAAGTGCTGGGCTACGCAAGACTATAACCTACAAATCGGCACTTTTAAAATGAATTACCTCACCCTTCTAAAAGTTCTGATGTCTCCCAAACAGCTCTCCAGATATTTTCGATGTCAATTACCAACATTAAAGAGTGATTGGCCAAGGTAGCTGGAACTGACATAGTTGCAGTCCAACATATCTGCAGGAGAACCAGGGTAAGGAAGGTTCTCTGCCTCTGTTACTATTCCCAATATGCTGTAACTACATACAGGCAGAAGATTTTTCCACAGATTTTGAACAAGTGCAGTATGTGCCATGCTATCTCCTCAGGTTTCTACTGTGCTTTTAAATCAGAGAACAATTTAGATGGTTGAAGTTTACTACTCACTTTTATGTTTTGAGAGATAAATATAAAGTAGATCTCAGAGGTATCATCAGTAACAAAAATGTACATTCCAGTAATACTGCTGCAGACATATCCTGGCTAAATGTTCATAACTGCTTAGATTCTCATACCCATCACATCAAGAAGAGTTTTGAAGCTATCATCAAAAGTTAATGATTTTTTTAAAAAAAACAATACACAAAAGGATGAACCAAAGTCACAAATCCATGCAATACACGAAAAGATGAACCAAAGTCACAAATCCATGCAGAAGTATATGTTGCTATTAAAACAAATATGTCAAAGTATCCCTCAGAACTAAAACTGACCCAAGACCAAAATTCTCAATCATTTAGCCTTCCCAAATGCCACTGTTCCATTAATCTGTCAGATAAATCAGGTAAAATAGGAAGAGTGAGTGGACAGAATTTCTCTGCCTACTGCAAGCTTGTTCACCCTCTTGTATTTGTGTTTTTATGCAGTCATCAGTGTCAGAACAACTGCTATAAGCCAAAAAAAAAAATAGTCCTAATGTTCTACAGAAACATTGTACAATTTCTAGCATTAGGGCTACTGTTTATTGTGACAACCTGTACACAAAGGCCAACTGTTCACAGTGATAGAAAATCTAGCACTACAGAGGTTACAGAACAGCTACTCCTTCTCGCACAGTTGTTAGAGTATCCAAATCAGACTGTGGAGACACAAGGTCAAAGCACCACAGCTACTAAGCTCCCTGACTGACCTATCTCTCTGTTCAGGGTGGTCTGTTTGGGGTGGGGGAGAAACATGTTTGTTTGCCTAGAAGGAAAAGTGGGACAGTTACATAATACATAATGTATTTGAAAACTATGTGTTAAAAAACCTAAAACCAAAATTCTGTTCATGTGCTACAACATTGTAAAACCTCATCAATGCATGACTGCTGACAGATATCTGAATATTACATTAAGTTATGGAAAGTGCACATGAGTGATGAAAGATTTAAATCCTCCTAAAAGGCAGAAGCGAAAGACCCTAAGAGCACGCAGTGCACAAGCTATCTCTAAGCCCTCTGCATGGCACATAACTTGAGATACTGTACAAGAAGCCTTTTTTCTCTCTAAGGAAAGGAAAACTCAGTCGTGTTTATCTAAGCTACATGATGTAAAAAGAAAATGGAAATCACCTTCATTAATTAGAAGTGTCAGAACAATTAACTGAACTTAAGCAGAAAATAAAGTCCAGTGGCACATTGAGAGAAAAAAGCTGTGTACATAAATAGGTCTCATTAGTATTAGAGAAAAAGAAACATGAATATTTTTAGTTTCTTCCATGTGTTGATATTCTTCATTCACGTTGCCTCAATTCCAACTGGCAAAAAACCATGTGCGTAAGGTAATCATGTTAAGAGTCACCACCTATACCCTCTTGCAACTTCCCTCTGCAAATTCAGGTATTCAATTCCTCCAATCACTGTGATGCAGGCACATAACAGAGCATGTGCAGGGAGGAAAAACTGACATAGTTGCTTAAGTAAAGAAGATTCTGGCCATAGTGCTCCATGTAGCTAATCTTTGCCTAATGGGTCAGCATGCTATCAGATATTACAAATTCTAAGGTACAACTTCAACTTGATCTCTCCTCTCAAAAGAATGTTGTATATGACTATTACAGTTTAATTAGGTAGGAGGGGAACATGTGATAACTGAAACGTCTTTTAAAATAGCAAATGTATATTTTATGGCATGAAATGTCATTACAAATTCTCCATAAAATATACACTAGATCAAACATTAGGAGTTTCTTTTAGAACAAAAATCAATAGCGTGCAAGGTGTGCAGCAGTATTTAATTGGATTAAAGACAGTAATCTAGCATGAATGCATCAACCCAATCTGGTCAGACAAATTCCACTTACTGTGAGGCCTATAACGAACTGTGTACTGAGACAGAGCTTTAAAAATGAGCACTTTAAAGACATGTGTTCTTCCTTTAAGGCAGTCAAATCATCATCATCTGCTTATCATGGTATCTCAGTGACATAAATAGGCTTCAATTTCTCTTCTCTGTCAGTTCACAACTACAACTGATCTCAGATGTGATCATATACAAGGAGAAATATAACAATTGCACTGATGGTACTCCATGACAGTACATTGTTTCTATGATCATGGCACCTCTTAAGGTATTCCTTTGATCATAGGTAATTAAGAATCTATAAAGCAAACACTAACTACTAGTTTACACATTACCTTTCACTGTATATTAGAGTGTCAAGGGAAAATTAATGATGGTGATGTTCAGAAAAATGCATGCATTAGATACTCTACAACATTTGTTATCAGAGATCTTGCTAATAGTGGCCTCCACCACTTATTATTCCATTTCTATCCTTTTGGTTTATTCTTTTGAATTTTTTACACATATACAAGAAATCTCTATTTCAGAGTCTAAGTTTTCTAAATCCATGATACCTAAAACAGACCCTTATGCCTACAAACATACTATTTTAGATACAGCTTTTAAAAATGTATACATCTCAATTTAATCATTTCTTCTGCATATTCCTTCTGGTTTTCTTTATCATCTTTACTAAAAAGGATCTTACACATTACATTCTAAAATGTAATAAATGAGATTTAATCTACTTCTAAAAATCAAAAGAGTTCTTATTCTTCTATAGCCCTTTAAACTATGTCAGACATGAACACAGAGAAGCAATAATGTCACCTTAAATCACATACATGGGACACCCTTTTCTCATGTCTGAGTGTTAGTGGAATGCAAGATTAAACATCAAAATCTATAGACTCATTCTGGATTTCCTGCTAGAAGATAGTGCTGGGAAATGTTTGCTTCCCCATGGTAGTTAATATGTAAGTTTCCCTAGATTTTACCTCCTTGAAAACTCTTGGGGTGGACAGCTAGCACTTTTGAACAAGATACTGTTAAAATCTATTGGAACCTCTTCATTTTATCTGAGAGGTACATTTAACAGGTGTTTGCAGCTGATAAATGAACAGACAAGAGCTGTCATATAATGAGAACTTGGTGAATGGTGAATCCAATGATCATGGAGTTGATTTCATCCTGTTTTGGAAGGCATTGCATTCCCTACCACAGAAGAGATCAAATCCACAGCTTAGCAACGTCCCTGATATAATTTATTTATTTATTTATTTATTGGACTTATATACCGCCCCATAGCGCTACAAGCACTCTCCGGGCGGTTTACAATTTTTAATTATACAGGCTACACATTGCTGTGCTTCTGAAAGCTCAGGTGTCACAAGAGTGCCCTTCCTCCTTCTTGGCTTCTCCCTGCTCTATACAGGGATGCTGTAGAAGGAAAAGAGATATATGTTCTTGTTCTTGTCTCCAGAATTTCTGTAACTATCTGAACCTTTCAGCATAGTAGGGAAAGCTTCAAGGAGTCTGAAATAACCACTCCCCAAACGCAAATTAGTTATGACTACATGAGTCCTATTTAAACCTACATTACTTAAGATTACATTATAAAGATTTAAAAGCTTCTACTCTGAATCTGAGAGAGCATTCACATCTTTGTTTTTCCTCACAGCCAAAAATACTGAATTACACCTTTGTAAGAAATTAAACACTGTGATTAATTATGCGACACACATGTCTTCAGACTTAGATTATTTGAAAGATATTTGCCATATCCTATCTGAATTTTCAATTAGATTTCAATTTAATTACAGTTGATAAAATTTTATTCAAAAGCAGTTGTGCTATCAATTTAGAGGCAGCCATTTGGAAATCTGACGTACAGAAGACCAGATTTAGTAAAGCACTCCAACTCTCAGAATTTCACCTGTGTAAAAAGAGAACGGATATACTGTATAACTTGCCTGAGGGGGTATTTGAATGTTTTCACATTCATGGCCATTGGAAAGATCGTATATTACAATACTGATACGTACCGCCTTTTAAATCAGCGGATGCCCCCACATACTGGAAGTTGTCCATATTAATAACATCAATTATAGGAGACACAACTCTGGTTCTGTCCTAAAATAAACAGTGAAACAGAAATCAGTGTAAACGATTCAGACATGGAAGATTTCTGAACTTTTGGATATGGAGAGAAAGCATGTCACAAAACCTATCCAAACACATTTTAAAAATATTCTCCACTACAAAGCAAACGGGAAAAAAAGCAAGGCATAAGTTATTCTGCAGCATATAGAAATAAATTTTTTTAATGCATAAGCTATTCCAAAGCTTTGATCATTCCCAAAATTACAATATTTACTTTGGCAACTTCTTAATTTCAATTGTGTTGGTTAGCCCTACAATATAATTGCATAAGATTACATAAGATTTTCAGGGACGTGGTGGCGCTGTGGGCTAAACCGCAGAAGCCTGTGCTGCAGAGTCAGAAGACCAGCAGTCGTAAGATCGAATCCATGCGACGGAGTGAGCTCCCGTCGCTTTGTCCCAGCTCCTTGCCAACCTAGCAGTTCGAAAGCATGTAAATGCGAGTAGATAAATAGGCACCATCTCAGTGGGAAGGTAAAACGGTGTTCCCTAGTCACGCTGGCCACGTGACAATGGAAACTGTCTTCGGACAAGCGCTGGCTCTATGGCTTGAAAAACGGGATGAGCACCGCCCTCTAGAGTCGGACACGACTAGACTAAAAATGTCAAGGGGAACCTTTACCTTTACATAAGATTTTCCAAATGCAGTAACCATGCAACCCTTATGTACATCAGTTGTTTATAATGACATTTATTTGCCATTTTGCTGCCTATTCACCCACTCTGGAAATGCCCTTTCTGAGTTCTTCTCAATCTGCTTGGGTTTTCAGAGTCTGAATGACTATCATGTCCAGACTTTTCACTGCTTAGTTCTGATTCAAAACAATGTGAGTACATTCAACAGATATGCTCCTAATGCAAATTCCTGGAAGGCTGCATTGCTTATTGCTTACTGTGATATTTTTATGTTTACTTTTTGTTTCTTGTTTTATAACCAATTTCTCTTAATAATAGAACACGTCCTCTTCTCCCATAAGTGCTAAATCAACTTGAGAGCTTTTGGTAATCGACTGGGTCAAACTGGTTTTTTTTAGCAATTCAAAGAATACATTGCTACCATATCACCATTTAGGATTGTAGAAAAGTTGAGATAAGCCCTTTCTTTTCAAATGCCATGCTGATTTTTACCTAAACAAACTTTGTTCTTGGCATCTGATACTACTTTTCAATTATTCTTTTCATTTAAGCGAGTCAGATGTTAGGCTAATGCACCCACAAATACCACCTATCTTTCCAGAAGTTAGCATTACAGGCCACCTTTCATTATTTCACCAAGGAACCCAGTTTTAGTGACATGCTGCATACTTTTGTCAAATCAGCAATTTCTCAGAGTTCATATTCAACTATATGCTCATCTGATCTGGCAACTTAATTTCAATTACGTTGGTTAGTCCTACAATACAATATGTTCAATTTACTTTCAGTTAATTACTGAGTTCCCTTATTGGGAGAAAGGTGGCTATAGATAATACAAACAAACAAATAAATAGAATAAGGCTGTCAAATAAAGCCTTCATCTGGAAACTGTTCCCTTGTTTTAGAAGGTTAGATTTATGTATGATTCTGACCTGATCAAATTGTAATGACTTGATTTCTCAAACTCACATTCTAATCAGTGGACTGAGCCACATGAAGAAGGTACTAGCTGAAATTAGATGGCTGTTGAATACTGCCACTAAATTCTTCCACACCATTTGAACAGATCAGTTTATAGATCAGTAGTTTATATTCCTCTTAACTCACTTCAGCGACCCTCTCCAGAAGGGGTTCCAGCCAGTGCTCATTACATTCACAGTGACTATCCAAAAATGTCAGTACTTTAGCCTGTGCTGCATCTGCTCCTCGAACACGAGAACGCATCAAACCTGAAAATCAAGACCATATATTAGCAGTACATTCAACAAAGATTAGTTCTCCAAGTACTAGCTGCAACTAAGAGAAAGTAACTTGGGCTGGGTGGTCCATTTGATTGCAACTTGATAAACCTCTTGTGATATTAAGTAATAGCATCACATTCTACTTTCCTCTAATGATGTTGCCAAACTTTTCTACACGAGTTCTGCAAAAGATCATGAAAACTTAGTTTGAAATATCAATTTGCTGTGCTTGCAGATTGTGCCAATATTACAAATGGGGGCCAGTTCTCAATTTAGCTGCAGCTATGGCAAGGAAGGCTTTCTTTTTTACAACATGGCTTTGGAAAGTTAGAATGCTCCTTCAGCAACCACACAAATACCATATGCTGTGAAAAGTAAATACCCACCAGTCCTGGAAGCTGGGAAGTAGCTATAGTAACACTCTGACCTCTAAAGAGGAGGATAACTCCCTTGCTGTCACGATCATTGCTGCCAGAGATGTCACTACAGCTGCAATATAAGTGAGTTGGGGGGGCATGTCTGAGAGTAAACTCAGAAACTGCTGCACTTCTATTGATGGCAGCTGAGAACAATGGGGTCCACAATGGTTTCTGAATTAAAAGACAGATTGTTCTGGCTTTGATGGGGCAGAAAAGGATAGCTCCTTTTGCTTACACAAAATTCAATCAAATTGTAGCAAAGGGATTGCCCTGGTATTACTTCCATAGGAGCTGCTCGCATTACAAGTAGAAGACTTTTTGTACAACGTACTCAAGGAAAGACTGAACCATCACCCATCTACTATTTATATCTACTATTTGGCAACAGAAGAGTAACACGACTCATGCATGCTGAATGCACTGCTTTTTAGGTCTTTTCTAAACATCTATGGTGTAGAACCAATCTGGTCTTGACAGGGGGAGGGGTTTCCTGCTGGTGAAGAGGCTCCAGACACCTTCCCAACTCTCAAGAACCAGTTTTGGGGGTACAAAAGGCATTGCAGATGGTGTGATTACTCTGTCCACAATTTTGCTGATGGAAGGAAATTCAACAGTAATCAGCTCTCTGGATTCAGCCCTCAGAAAGCAAGTCAGAAAACAGAATAATAAAGGCTATCAGATTGAACAGCTGCCTTCTTTACACAGGTTTTATTTCTTCTGCATGCAGTATCTGCAGCAAGATCAGAGCACTCTTAGCATAAACAAAAATAACACTGCCTGGTGTTTGTGTTTTCATATTTTCCCCCCAGTCCTAATAAAAGGCTCACCTTCCCGGCGGTCATTTCTTAGTACCTGCACTTTTTCAATTTTCCCCAAGAGAGCACCATCCTCAGCTAGGAAAGAAAGAAAGAACCTTTGTCAATCCTTTATTTATCTTGGCACAAGGGAATAAAAACATGTAAGAAGTTCTTTTTCCTTGCCAAACCATCTGCACTGACAAGTTTTGGAGTTATTTATTTTCTTCCCAAGGTAAATCTGCTCTACAAGACTCTTCTTAACACTGATGAGAATTTCAGCTTCATACAATTTGAAATGTTAGAAGGGACACTGAGACCAAGGTGAAATATTTGCTATCATATGGTATTTCATTTACGACATCAGAAAGCAAATGTTTTGGGAGTTATATGCAAGATGGGACTGTTGCCAAATACTGTAGATGCACAAACCAAAGAATGGAAATCAAACAACCTCAGCTAAAAATGTATCTCCATATAGACATATTGTATTTAGAGGGGGGGGGTTGTTTTTGTTTTTGTTTGGCAGAAGCAGAATTCTGTATAACTACTTACAATCATTACTGTAGTCATCCACCAAAATGATTTCCTTGATAAGATGGGGTGGACTTTTTTTGAGAACACTGAAGAAAAAGAAGAAAAAAAAGGAACATAATAATATTCATGTATTACACACTGCAGTGATTGCCTGTCAGCAGAGAAATAAGTTTCAGGAATACCTGACAACTGTTCGAAGCAAAGCTGATCGTGCCTCGTTGTGAAAAGTGATGACTACACTTGTTGCTGGCAAGTCCACCCGCCACTGCTTCCTCTGGCACCTTAAAGACAAAAGTATTTCAAATGTTAAAGCTCTGAGTTTGTCAATACAGTGGTGCCTCGCTTAACGCGTTTGTCAATACATCTATGAAGAGGCCCTTATTGAAGATGTACAGCATGCCTCCACATAATCTCTTCTAGAAAAGGAACAACAGAAGTACATTTGAAGAATAAATGACTGGCATTCTGTAACACAAAGGGGGATTCCAAAAGCTAAAATTAATACAAAGACAATTACTAAACATTTGATTTAGATGAAACTTAAAGCCTTGAAGTCTGTACCACAAGGGGTTTAATGTTGGTGAGGTCAAGGGCTGGGTTTTGTGTGCATTAACTGCACAAGTGGTTTTATGGGCACTTCATTACATGGCATGTTGCTTGCATCATTTCATCTTGCCCTAAAGAAACATAGTAGAAATTGTCACAAAGGTGCCAAGTTGGCTTACATCACTGAAGACAATATTTAAAAATAATACCAGGAAGTATACAAATACCAGAAAGGGTAAAATGCCACACTACAACACGATAAAAAATGGCAAAAACATATTCAAAGCAGTAAAGGACAACAATCCATTTAACAACTCCACTCAGGCAGCTAGTCTCTGAGGGAAGGCCTACCTGAAGATAAAAGTTCTTCACCTGCTTGCGGAAGGACAGCAAAGATGGGGCCAGCTTAGCCTCCTTTTAGAGGGAGTCCAAAGTCTGGGAGTAGCAATGGAGAAGGCCAATGTCTTCATCACATCCACCTATGAGGGTGGCAGTACCAGAGAAAGGCCTCTCATGATGATCTTAACACCCAAGCAGGCTCATAAAGGGATATGCAGTCTATGAGGTAGCTTGGACCCAACCTGTTGAGAGCTTTATAGGGTAGAACCAGCACTCTGAATTGTGCCCAGAAGCAGATTGGCAGCCAGTGATCCTTGTGACCAGCCCCAGTTATCAATCTGGCTGCCGTATTTTGGACCCATGGAAGTTTCTGGACACTTTCAGTGTTAAGAGTGTGTTACAGTAATCCAGCCATGATGCAATTAAGGCATGCGTCACCATGACAAGATCAGACCTCTCCTCCAGCAATGGGTGCAACTGTAGAACTAATTTTAATTGCAAAGGCACTTCTGGTCACCATCGAAACCTGGACGTCCATGCTCAGAGACAAATCCAGAAGCACCACAAAACTGCACATTTGTTGTTTTCAGGAGGAGTGTAACTCCATCCAGCACAGGCTGCATCCTTTCCTTGTCTTATATGGATTAAGCTTCAGTTTATGCATGACAATGTACATGGGTTAACACTGAAATATCCAATGCCATATTTGTCTCACTTGTGATCCATGGTGCATTAGAGTGGCAGTAGTTTGGCAAAGTACTGTATATAGATATTTAAGTTCCAAAACTTGCAACAAATGAAGGTCAATGTACTGGGCTCAAACAGTTTTTGAAAACAAATTGAGTCAGGCTGCAAGTTATATATACTATTGTATTTCAACAGACAGGGAGCTTTAAAAATATCACAAAGTATTTGTAGTTTAAGACCAGTGCAGAACACCATTGAGTTAGGTTTAAGTCTAATCCTACCAATAATGGTATAATATTCCATCTAAAGCTGATCAAAATGAATTGCTTTAATAGAGCAAGTTGAATCTAGGTCTTCTAAAGTGAAACAAATCCCCAAATATTTATAAACCTACGGGGCCTATATAAAATTAAGCTGCTTAAAAGTCTTGCTGGCAATAGAACTGAAAAGCCCTGTTAATCCTTTGTTTATTCCTTTCCAGAATTAATCAGAGCAGGTGAAAGCTTTACACATTTTTGGTTCTCTTCTAAACATTACAAGCATTTAACAAACCAGTTCTCTCCCATATATAACAAACCAGACATTTGCTGCTAGTCTATTTTATATGTTTTAAAGGTATTGAGAATTTTGAAATTTCTGACTGCACTGATGACAATCATAATATGAGACACAAATATATCTAAAGTGAAAATATTAGACCAGAAACTAAAGTAGATCACATTTCAACTTTTTAAAGTATCTGGAAGATAACTTTTTCAGTAAAAGTCAACAGAAACTGAAAGAGGGAAATATCTGTGCTTGAATCTTCATTTTCCTCTACAAGTAAACAGCTATCATGCATATCTTTAAAATAAGCATTTACACATTGGCTGAAATTCTAAAGCACCTAACTTTTATAAAGTCATGTCTGCAGAAGTCTGCAAGAAGTTTACTGTGTGCCTGATCACACAATGATTGTGAAACTAATTGTACAATGCAAATACAGAACTGCTTGCTGGATATGGCTTCCACCTCAGCATGAATTTAATAACCACTTGCACGGGTGTAGCTCTGGAACAGGGTTTTGGCCATAATCTTTTGGCTCTAAAAAGATGTCCAAGGCATTGTACAAAATAAACTACTGAAACAAATATGAAGAATAAACTCTTTAAAAACTTATGCTTTTAAATGCAAAATGAATTAATTAAAACCTTAAATTTCACACCAGTGCAGCTGTATCATAAAACTTGTAGGAAATGGAGGACACAATGATTCTGTGGGAAGGGATGAAAATAGCAGCATTGATGTCATCCCCCTGATGATCTAGTAAAGTTTGGTAAAACTTAGTTCTACTTAGTAACATCTGCAGCTCATTCAGTAACACTAAACCATAATTTAGAAGAAGGTTTGGAATCACAGAGAAGCACCCTTGCTATTTCTCACCCTCCCTACTCCTATACCCCCATTACTTTCTCAAAACAAAAATGACAACAGCACACCCACAAGCCTCCAGGGGGAGCAATCTCCTATGACAGGACTGTAGGTGAATGTGTGAGCTCAAAGCTTCCTACAGGCTTCTTTCTGCTCATGTACACAGTGCTAAGCCATGGTTCAGCATTCAGTGTCCAGCTTAGGTGATAAGCCTATGTCTGTGTGATTTCAGACTGAATGGTGGAACTCACAAGAACGAATTATATGTCTTTTTGAGGAAAAAACCCTACCATACACACAAGGGAAATTTTAATTTCAGAAGTGAGATGAGTCAAACACAGTTACCCAAGTGTGATTTATTAAATATATTAGAACTCTGCTGGTTTCTAACTTATCACCTGGGATGGGGATGAAAAAAGTACCACACATAAAAGATACCCTCTTAAACCTGGCTCTGCTCCATAAATTCCACCCAGAATTTATATAATTACTGAGATAAGATTCATTTCACCTGCCAATGTTTTTGGTATTTTAATTTTATAAGATACCCAATATGGTGTAGTGTGTAGAGTAATGAGCTAGGGCTCAGAAGGTCTGGATTTGAATCCCAGGTCAGCTATGGAAACTCAGTGGGAGAGTGGAACTGATAAAACTACTCCTTAAATACCTCACTTAACCTTGAAAGCCCTATTAGGATCACTATAAGTCATTCCACTTGACAGCAAACAACAACAATAACAAGGCAGCTTACTGCAAGTAAAAACAGCAACTGAAAATGATGTGATATTCTAGCAGGCTTCCTTATATCACTATTTTATTGCACACACCCCTCACAATTTCTCAAAGCTTTATTCTTGACTCTAGACATGTTACTTCGTAAATGTGAAAGTTAGTAGGCCTTTTTCCCCTTAAGGTGTCAATTTGCATTCAATTTGTTGAATCGCAATGAAGCATGACAGTATAATCAAGCCACAGATACTAGCAATGTTTAATCACTTAGCCTAATTGCTAGCCTACTCTGTCTGCATAAACGACTTCAAGAGACCCATCCCTATTCAAACATATCCTAGATGCAAAGCTAGAGCACTGAAAGTGTGTTTCAGAAATGACTCTGGACAAAGGAAATTAAGGGAAATTCTGAAAAGGCATTTGTTCCTCTCTGTAAATGTGTCTTGTGTCTCTGCCTATTTCTTACACATGCAGGAAGTAAGTTATTGAACAAATGAGGAATGCAGAGAAAATGTACCTGCCATGCTGTTCTACTGTTGCAAGGTTGGAAGTATATGTCCATTGCATGTGCCTGACACTACTAAAGGTGCATATATGCCTTATGCCAGGCAGGACAGGATAGAAGTGTACTTGCTTCCGAAATGCTGAGTGTTGAAGTTCTCTCCAAAACACAAAACTACCAACTGTTATTCATCCACCACAGTTCTATAGCTTCAGAAATTCTACAGCTTATTTATCTGAAGCACCTTGAAGATGTACAGTATGCATATAAATTAGAATTTAGAACGTAGTTTTTAAAAAATTATTACATTAGCCTCACACACATACACCATTCACAGTAAGAATATTGATAATAATAATATGAATAATAATATGTTGTCAAGTTAATTCGGACTTACGGCAACCCTTTTCAGAATTTTCTAGTTAGTGAGAACTCAGAAGTGGTTTACCATTCATTTTTTCTGGGGGTGCCTAGGGATTGTGCAGCTTTGCCCAAGGCCACACTGGCTCTTCTCCTACGAGAAGAGTGGGTAACTGAGCTGCCAACCTAAGGCTCCTAGTCAGAAACCTAACAGACAGTTCATTTACTTCATCCAAAAAATGCCGTTATGCCCTTGTTGCCTCGAAAAAGGAATGATAGCAAGTAACTGTTATTCATAAGACATTCTAAGCTCTGACCAAATCAGTTCGCCAAAGAAGGGAGCAGCGCAAACCCCAAGTTCCTGTTATCATTCTTCCAATAAAAGTCAAGAGCAAGTCACACAGCTCTGGATTTCCTCAAGCAAGGTGTGAAATCAGGTAGCCTTTGAAGTGGTCTGAGATGAACTGGATCATTTTCCAAGTCACTGAAATGAAGTCCAAACCAAAAGCTTTCCATCACTGAGCAACTCTAATCAAGAGCAATGCTGGTTAACTAGAAATCAACCAACATCTTCTATAATTCACCATCTTGAAACTTCACATCAAAAGCACCATAAAAGCATGCATTCCTAGTATAAGTCAAGCAATCTCATACAGACCGCATAATTCACCTTTTTGTTGCACTGTATTGTTACAAAGTAGTCACACTATACTAGGAATGAATGAGACACATCAGAGAATGGCACAAGAGAAGTATAAATACAGCTGAGATATTTCTGTAATTGCCAAGTCTTGACAACGTCAGCTGAGCAACTGCATGACTGCTTGTTTGCCAGCACAAATGAAGCCTTTCATTTTATGGACTACTTTCTACATGAAACCTATTCAAGATAACAATTTTGTACTTACTGATCATGTCTAGTATCTTGTACAGTTCTGTCCATTCGCAGTTTGTCACTCTCAACTTGGTTAAACTTATTACGGGCATATGGATCTTGACCGGCTTTAACCATGGTAACTCCAACATATGCTTCCTGGTCAAAATCTTGCCACCTAACTTTTCCTAAAGAGAAAGAAAAACTGTTAACTGATTTAAACAAAGAACTGTGGCTTTATATTAACCATCTGCATTTTACAAGTAAGTACAGCAAAGTTTTCAAATCCCAGAAAAGCAAGTGTTGTATCTTTCCTTCCAACTAACTCAAAGCAGATCTATCACATGATGTGTCTTTGGTGCCAGCATTTCTGAGCTATAAACCACATTCCCATTCATGATTAAACTTACTATAAGCTTCACTCTAAGGAAAGTACACACTGAGCACAGGTCTAAAACCTGACACAAAGGGTTATGAAACAACAAATAAGGTCAAGCGACATGTTAATATTAAATGTACTATTGAATTAAATGTGATTCAGTCTGTAAACTAATACAGCTGCTGCCATGGAGCTCCATCACACTGATGGCAAAAAGGTTAGGAAATTCTAACCTTTCTTCCCCCTTCAGCCTAAACAAGGTCACATGCTACCAGCTGCTGTTAACGGTAGGACCACTATTAACCTCTCTACAATGCCAAATGGCCATTAAGAAAGGACAGTTTAACTGGACATATAACATGGGTAGGTGACCCTCTCCCTGTGGCAGTCAAAATCCTGACCTCTACCCTGACTGCTATTTTTGTCTCATTCATTCATTCATTTGATTTACACACCGCCCATCTAAACATTCGCTACTCTGGGTGGTGTACAATTTTTTAAAATAAAACATAAATTACATAATTACTACAAACACTAGATGGTATCACAAATAGAAAAACAGCAAGATAGGCAGCAATAGCCATTTCGAATCATAGACTACAATATTCCTCTCCTCCTTTATCCATATCCCAGCTACTTGGGGAAGAACCTCCCCCAAAGCTTCTCTGAACAGCTGTTTTTTTTTAATTTTTATTTTATTTTCACAGAAGAAGAGAAAAAGGGAAAAAAAGCAAAGGAAAAGGAAAAATCTAACTAACCCCTCAAATTAAACTAAACCCTCCCCCTTTTGGAGTCAGAGACTCCAGCCTTACTAACCCCTTTTTAAGGGCTTTTTAAATATGCAAAAGGAAGGTGCCTGCCACATCTCCTGCAGGAGACCATTCTATAAAGAATGTGCTACTGTTCAGAAAGCCCAGCTTCTAGTTTTTGTTTTCTGGACTTGTCAAGATATTTTACATACATCAGCAATCTTAAATACAAAAACACATTTATCGCAAACATGCTTTTTAGCCTTAAGGGATTGTATTTTTCCGTGTATAAGGCACCCCATGTATAAGATGCCCCCCCCACTTTTCTAACCCAAAATTAAGAAATCAATATTTTAAACATAAAACAGAACACATTTTTATTTAGTAATTATGTAACATTTACATACCAGTACTATCATATTATGCACCACACTTTAACTTTATTCAGCTTTTGGGTTCAGAACGCTCAGACATTACGAATCCCTGTTGCATGTGAGCACTGTCTACATGCTCCACCTCCAACGAGGTGTGTTTCAATTGGTTTGTTCCGCATCAGCTGATGTCACTTACATAATGCTCGTGATTGGAGAAAGCTAAGTCTCCTGACCGTAGGAAGCTAAGCCTTGTGACTGGAGGCAGCTAAGTCTCGTGATTGTTTGCAGAGGCAAGGTATGGGCCGTTTTGTTCTCTCAGCTTACTTCCGTGTATAAGATGACCCTCAATTTTCAGTCTTAAGATTTTAGACAAAAGTATTGTCTTATACACAAAAAATACGGTACTACAGCATCTTTGTTTAAAATTGACATTTCCACCAACCACTGAAAAGGAAGTATTTAAATCAGATCATCTTTATGTGATTAAACCTTCTTAATTCCATCCATTCTAGCCATACAAGTTAATGAGCTGAATAGGCAGAACAAAGAAAAGCACTCCAGAATAAAACTGCAAAATCTATTGCTCCCTTGAATGCACTTTCATTGAATATGTATCAATGTGAACAGTTAGGAAATGTGAGTTAGGTTACAATGTTCAATATTTAAGTTTGGCAAAAATTGTATAACAGATATATCCACACTACTGAATTCAGCTGGATCCATTCTACAAGCTTCCTTTGGATGCTAATTGCACCTCACTTATAGAGAGGACCTGAGAATTAAACTAGACATTATGCTTAGCACGTTTTAGAAGAGATGCTTCATTATATGTGAAAGATGTGTGATAGTCATAACATGCTATCCCTCATCTTGCACCTTAACATGATTTGTTTTCTAATTGGCCACTGGAAGGTAAATACAGGCTTAATTCAGAAGTTTGATTGTTCAGGCATGTACCTCTAAGCAAATGCCACTGTCAGAGGAGAAACAAGTTACTTGAAAGAAATAAACACTCCCCTGAATGTATAGTTTGACCCTAAGACTACTGAAAAGGAACTTATTTCCCACTGTCCCCCATTGTGGCTATGCGTTTAAAACTGGCCAAACCAAATATAGATTTAATGAAGTTATGCATTTAGATAACCCATTTCAGACATTGGGGCTATCTCTGCAATTTTCAGAATTCAAGGGCAGCAAGGTTTCAGGAAGCAGCAGCCACCTCCAGAGAAGTACAAACCCCAAAGAAAATATTAGACCAGCAAAAGAGACAAGCAACCAGATTTTCTCCTAGTACGATCCACCGTATCTCTACTGATGGGAGTGAGATCGTACACTACAGCCTGACTTCATATTCCGATTTACCTTGCTATGCAGGTAAATTATGAGTATGACTTGAATTGCTAATGGCTAGAGAAGCAGCACCTCTGCATATCCTCTGTCATGGTTTAATACCACTGGCACAAAAAAATACATGAACTGGATGTTGCATCAGTGCTATTATGCCATAGCTATTTTCTTTTAAGTCATACAACAACAGTGAGAACCTGAACTCCTACATAGCATGTACCTAACAGGCTCGTGTGCTACTAAAAATTCATCCGCCCCGAGTAGACTCTGTCTAGAGGGGTGGGGTAGAAATTGAAAAATAATAAACAAACAAACAAACAAACAAACAAACAAACAAATAAATAAATAAATAAATCTTCAAACAAGATATTTCAGATGGCCAACAAGGGCCAAAGAAGCTCTTTCTCAGAACACAGAACTTTATTAAAAACAAATATGGGAGCAAAATAAAATCAAATAAATTTAACTCATCCAAATTAAACAGTAGCTTTTGTTCGCATATTTTGAACAAAAAGTCATTAGCCCTCTGAAGGATAAGAGCAGTTACCTGTAAATCCTATCCACATGCTGAAGAGGTAATTGATTCAATGAATACAGTATTCTTTCAAAAGTACTGGTTCTGTTCCTACTGCATCCCATTTAAGAAAGTAGGTGACTTACATTTTTAATGCTATTTAAGTCACCCCATTATTAACTACAGTGGAAACCCATATATCCAAACAAATTATGGCATGTACTGGATAATGTGCTCTTTCATCACAAAATGCCCTGGGAGACCTCTATTACTCTTCCTCACCTAGAGGACTATTGTTCAGACATTTCTGCCATGAGAACATGCTTCACAGTCCATACCACATTACAATTTGAAATACTATGCTTAACAACAGGAGCTAGTTCCAAAACGGGGGGGGGGGGGGGGGAGAGATATTCTAATTTTTAAAAAAAGTTCTGCTTGCAAAGCACATCTTCTGGAGGCTGTCAGAACTAGGAGCAGAGAAGACAATTTTTGGACATTAAAGACTCCATCACATTATGAGGCTCCAAGAGGCTTCCCTAGGATGAAAGGGGCTCTCAGAACTTGGGGATTGGAAACTTTGAATTAGTGAGACAAGGTTGCTGTTATGACATCTTCACCGACAGAGCTAAATCAATAGGCTTTCAACCAGTCTCTGCTCAGAT